TTGATACTTCGAATTAAAATACTCATCACCACTGCATTTAACTCTCTCAATGCATCTCTCTCACCTTTTCACTTCACTTCACTTTCTTAATAAAATAATCAAGAATAACAGTAATAATATAACGCCATAGTAACTTACTTCCAGTCAAAAATTTCCATAAAGAGAATAGTAAAACGAAACCAAAGAATAGATAAAAAGAGTTAAAATTCTTGCAAAAAGCTATAAATTTTTATTGTAAATCTTGCAGTTTCTTAATGATACATTGTCATTATCACTCCAAGTTATAATTTTTTCAGGCATAATTTTAATTAATACGTTTTAAAAGGACAATTAAAAAGTTAAAAAATCTCGAGGGGCTTATCAATGGCATCTCCTCTGAAGGATATCAACTATAACCATATTTTTAAATTGATTTCAAAACGACAATTATTTATAGATCATTTTTATTTCGGTTAACATAAATCAAAATTGTAGTAATGGTAAGAAATTTTGTAATAATTGATATTTCATCCTATTTCTGATGAAATACCAATTACTGATTTATATATCGCTAATTTAATTTGATAATACAAAAATATGTAAATTTATCATAATTGTATGATATACAAAGGTATATGTCTTTTTCGGTAAGTACACAGTCTTTTTTTTATAGGTCAGTGGCTGAACTCGATTTTCTTGTACATCTATAAGCGTATGCAGCTCAACTCTCAGTCACTATTACAATAATAATATTTTAAACATTTAAAAATTCAAAATTCAAATCTTTATACAAAAAAAGCTTCTTTGCATGTATTTTTCATGAAAAATTTAAATGCATAGAGCAATAAAGCACTGTCAGATTTCAACATAACAAATTTAGTCCGTCAGATAACTAAATTCGTTATTTTAAAACTTTTTCGTATCTAAGTGCCGATTACAGAAAATATTTTCTTACGTGCGCAAACAATCATAATGCTTATTGAGTAATGATAACAATAAGCTTGGGATCTAAAATATATAAAGTTATCACCATGTTGATATTCATTATTTGATAGAAAGAGAAATTTTCAACATATAACTTAGCAATCCGAAATCTTGCAGCCGAATAGTTCTAATTCGGAAGTTGTCTGTAGAGATATTAGAAGAATTTTCTTTTCCAGTAACTTTTGATTTTGTGGGAAAAATCACAAATATCTTTCTGGTTTCTTCTCAGGTTCAATTCGAGGCAACAATATAATTCAATATAATTTCCGGTTTTATACACAAGAACTGTAAAAATTGAAATTGAAAACTGTCAAAGAAGGATTTCCAGAAGCGCAAAATATTTGGAAGAGCTATGTAATTGTAGTTTCTCGTTCCTTTAATTTAAAGTATTGACTAACTACCATAAAGCGCATATCAAAAAGTCAAGTTTAAATGTATTTAACAGTGAACGTCTTATCTTCTAGTTATTTCATTCTCCTCAATACTTGATGATTTTAACGATTGCATTGCCTTGCTCATTGTTACAACAGGAAATATGAAATATTGATGACAACAGTCGAGGTAAAATATTTGACGAGTTATGTCTCAAAATAAAATTTTCTACTTCATTCAATTCTTATTTCCCGCTTCATATAACACTTATTCATTGCAACAATTTGAAAATTTGCTTTGGGGGTAAGATTTATAAAGTTTTTATTAAAAATTACCAAAGTAACACCCAAGTAAAAAAAAAAGATGGACGTCGATGGAGAAGAAAGATATCACATGAAAAATGATAACACATAAGAAAATGGCAGAATAAAGTACTATTTAAAAAAAAAAAACAAGATGAAATTTCTAAACAAAACCACAAGAGTTACTTGATATAATTGATGAGAGCAAAATAAAAAAATTAACAGGAATAATTCGCATCCCAAAATTAATAGAGAGTATAAAGTTCATAGTATCCAATCATCATTATTATAGAGGAACCGCCAACGGATCTTCATTAAACTTATGTGAATAAAGGAGAGTTTTCAAGCTTTATTAAAAATAGAACATACTTTGAGAGTATTACATAAATAAGTAGGTTGATACTTTAAAAAATAGATTTTTTTAATCCACTTACTCGGTATTGTTGACGATAAATAATTAAAGTCGAAGATACTTATTCCAATATTGGACCGGGTCACGGGTTTCGTCTTTCAAAATTCAATCCCTTCCAAAAGCATTAGCAAAATTTAATAAAACCTAGTTTCCAATTCTTATAACTTAGTCATTCATGCTCGTTGTATTTTGAGACGTTTTGAATCCAATGCAACATAACTACCAGGATTTGTATAGACACGAAGCGTTGAGCCATTAGATAGTTTTGCATGCTTATATTCCGCACTGTTAATTGTCTGTATCCATGATTTCTGATTATCTAGCGAAGTTGGATAGAGTCTTTCTTGAGGTAAAGCTTTTCGTTTTCTTTCGTAGCTTCCGATTCTAATGCATTTATAATCTGGCACATCTGAGCTTCTTATGTCAACGAGATGCGGCTGCGCTCTCACTGTTACATTATCATTCCAAAACGTAACACGCTTCTCCCTGCGCCTTAGTGAATTATTCTTGAATGCCATTAATTGATCCTCCGCACTAAATAAAACACACTCAACTTAATACAGTACACTGTACAACATTTCCCTGCCCTCTATTTTGGAAAAAGAAAAAGAGTACAAACTTGGTAGCAGAAGCATCCTTATATTCTTCTTCACCGCAAAAATCAACATCATATTTGTCAGTAACAGAGTTCACAAACTGCAGAAGTGATCTCGAACGTCCTTAAAATATTTTTGTTATCATTCTCGCGAATTTTCGTTATTTGATTCGACAAATCCAGTAATGAAAACTTTTTCAGATGTGCCCTGATCTGCATAATTTTTAATGAAATATCCGAAGCCGTGCCATCACACCCGAAACAGTCTTCACACTGACAATTGTTATTTCCTCTAGTATATTTATCATCTCCAGAAATAATTAATAACGAATTATATTTGACAAATCAATATAAAATGACTTCATTTTCTTTCAAATTTTATTAGTCATTTTATAAATAATAAATACTTCATTGATATGACTATTGTTTCACTTAAATGAAGAGACTATATATAATTGACCTGCAAGTGGAGGAGTTCGTTTTGGAAGTTGAACTGCTGGCATTGTGGTCTGCTCTGCTTCTTCTTCATTACGCTTTTTCGACAAAGGTGACAAGTTTGGTGCAACAAGTAAACATACTGAAAGCATCAATACTGCAAGACAAGTACCAGCATGCACTTTTCGTTTCGACCCATTAGCAACCATGCTTTGCAATTTTCGCAGTTGCGATAAATACGTTGAATTTAGTGTTTTGAGATGTTCCACCTGCATCATCATAAAGAATGAAACATTTATATGGCGTACTGAAAAACTAGATGGAGAAAAAGGGTAAGGTATTGTTTTTTGCATTCTTCATGTCTTTCCGGTAAAACTATATGAATTTCTAATACAAATTTTCTGAATTTTTAACAACGACTATAAAGAACTGGAAAACAGAGTACTAAAAGAGATACTTGTTTCTTCAGTTCTTCATTCTCTTGAGTGCAATTCTCCACACGGTCTTCCAATGCTTCAATGTAGTCCTGAAAGCTTAGTAATGCAGTCAAGAGAGAAAAAAATATGAAAAAAGTAGAAATTCCAATAACGAATTACTTGTTTTTTCTTGCGACTTGTCTGAGCCGAGTGTTTGTTTCTGATTTTTCGGCGTATACGCTTTAATTCTCTTTCTTCTGCTTTTGTCAAAGGATAATATTCTGGTAACCGAATCCCCTCCTTTTTACATAATTTCTTTTCCTCGTCAGTCAATACAAGTGGTGGATATTTTCTTTTCTCTAAAGATATTTCTAAAAGAGCACATTAAGATTATACATTGAAAAAATGATTATCACTACTGCTGCCGCTGTCTTAAATCTGAATTTTGGTACTTGAACAGAACTAGAAAGACCAGGGTAAAAAAACATATAAATTTCTTTTAATATGACATTATATTTAAAAAAAAGTAATGTTAAAAAACACCTCCCAGGCCAATTCGAGTAATTGGCGATCCTGTTTTCTTGTTAATCTCACTTATATTGAATCGATTCGCTTTATGTGTAGGAACGATCGAAGGGATGGAACTGACTGCTTTTAAAGCATGTTCTAAAGAGACATATGACCATTATCAATTATCAAAATACGTAGCTCACAGCTCAATTATAGAAAATATACCTGTTTTAATCTCCCGTTGTGGTAGCGGTAAAAAATTTCGTTCACAGTTCCAACCTTCAAGGATTTCTCTACTTGCTTCCTAAATATCAAAAAAAAAAAAGAAATATCCATGTAAACTTTTCGCGACTTTAGAACATCAAAGTAAAAGAACAAAAATAATCCTAGATCAAAAGGAGTAAATGTAATAGTACTTGAAGTACATCAAATTGTTCCTCTGTGTTTTGTAGAAATGAAATTACGGAGCTGCCTCCCTCACATGTCGAAGACGCCACTGATTTTGCTAAAAATGAGTTATAGTAAATTGTGAATTATTAACTCGCAAAGTTCAAGGACTCATTTCATAATTCAAAAGGTAACAATAGTTGCAGGCCTATACAAAAATGATTAGAAATCACAAGATTTCGTAATAAAAACTTATGGACTTATCCTCATAAAAACCTACTTCGTACAGACGCATAGGAATGTTCCTCTTCAACAATATTCTCTTGTGCATCTAACTGCGAACACAAGCTATCCAACAAACAATTCGGACCATCCAAATACGGCAATGCCGACGTGTACGACCCGTCCGATTCTGAATTTTCTATAAGGCTAGGATCATCATCTAACAAAAATGGACTGTAAACATCTGCGGAGCTGCCACCGGATAACATCAAATCTGTATGTGGGTTTGTTAATATCTTATCCAAATCGAGATCGAATGGTGCCCCTTCCATTCCACCTGAAAATATTAAGAATATTGCATGTTTCTGCACTTTTGAGTTTTCGTTTTTCCTTTCTGCATTTCCAAACTTTCAAAAACTGACGAAAATTCAAAAACTGACGGAGCATGAAAATATCATGCAGGTAACAGATGATATCACCTTTTTTCCGAGTAAAAAACACGGAGATTTTACTGAACAAGTGCATATTTCTCGCTAGACGAAAGAAAAACTAATTGATATATGCAAAAACAAATAACAACATAAAAAGGCTACTAATAAATGAAACAATTTACATCAAAAATACAGAATATGCAATTGGTGATAGTAGGAAGAGAAATGAATGAGCTGATCCAAAAAACATCCTTATTTATAAGGTAAACAACATTAGACAATGGTAATCAAATGGCATAAGATGAACAAATTAAGAATGGAGTGGCAGGGACTGTCTCGTAAATGCAAGTAATAATTAACAGTAAATTGATTAAAACAATATTAAGGAAATGATCTCAAAAGTTCATTCGCTCAAAAAAATGAACAAAAATGATAAGAGCACAATATATTTGTCAACTAAGGACGCTGCAAAAAAAGGAAGCAAGTCATAACAACATAGAACATCAAAGTAAAAAG